TTGACTCAGTCTCGATCCCTAAATGTCTTGGTCTTGGTCTTGACTCAGTCTCAATCTCTAAATGTCTTGGTCTTGGTCTTGACTCAGTCTCGATCTCTAAAAGTCTTGGTCTTGACTCAGTCTCGATCCCTAAATGTCTTGGTCTTGTCTCAGTCTCAATCTCTAAATGTCTTGGTCTTGTCTCAGTCTCGATCCCTAAATGTCTTGGTCTTGTCTCAGTCTCGATCCCTAAATGTCTTGGTCTTGACTCAGTCTCGATCTCTAAATGTCTTGGTCTTGACTCAGTCTCGATCCCTAAATGTCTTGGTCTTGACTCAGTCTCGATCCCTAAATGTCTTGGTCTTGACTCAGTCTCGATCTCTAAATGTCTTGGTCTTGACTCAGTCTCGATCCCTAAATGTCTTGGTCTTGTCTCGGTCTTGATCTCTAAATGTCTTGGTCTTGGTCTTGACTCAGTCTCGATCCCTAAATGTCTTGGTCTTGTCTCGGTCTTGATCTCTAAATGTCTTGGTCTTGGTCTTGACTCAGTCTCGATCCCTAAATGTCTTGGTCTTGACTCAGTCTTGATCTCTAAATGTCTTGGTCTTGACTCAGTCTTGATCTCTAAATGTCTTGGTCTTGTCTTGGTCTCGGAGCACTCTGCTCTCAGGTAGGTTAGTGTGGTCTTGTCTATAACACTACTATTCATATTAAATGTGACATCACATTTAGTGAGTAAGCGGACAAATTGACAAATTGCAGGATTTTGCACTTCCGCATTGGCTTCATTCTCAAGAATCGGAGGTTGCCATTTGGTCATATCTTGCACCCCCCCAACCCCCACCCCCAACCTACCACCGTCTGACAGGGATGGTCTCCCTGTGAGGTGCATATGTGAACAACCAGTTGAGGGGGAAAGTCGGCCTGAAATTCTTGTGAATTTTAGAGGGATCCACAACCTACTGTTTGCACGCTCATGTCAGATTAAAAACTGGTTTAACTCTTTGGTATGCTACAGTAGCTAATGATCATAAACAGCCCTCTCTACTGCAGGTGAGCAGATCACTAACTCAGACAAGCTCTAATGACTATGACTGAGGACTCCCCTTGTAGCTGACTGACACTGTGAGGTGGGCTCAGGTAAAGAAGGACAACAACACTGTTTGGTTAGTCTGTCATTGAGTGATGCTGTGTCACTGAGCGCTGTGCAGATATGACTCATCATCACTAGACCTCTCTCAAGTGCTTCCTTCTTTACTTTCTCCTGTTTTTTTTCCTCCATCACAGTCGGGGGGGTTTCTTGCTTTTTCCATGATTTCACTCCATGTCTGCATCACATGACCCCCCCGTGTGTGGATCCAAACCTCCAGAGATGCAAATGACATCACGAGCTCAGTCTCAAAGTTTATATTTTCTCAATGCCACAATGTGCAGTGATGAGGAGGAGGAGGAGGAGGAGGAGGAGGAGGAGGTGGAGGAGGTGGAGGAGGTGTGAAAAGTGGAGGAAAATAAAGATGTGTAAACATCAAGAGGAGAATCCTGCAGAGCTTTGCAAACTTCCCACATGACTTCAACATTCACACTTTTCAGAAAACATTTAAATTCTAGTAAATATCAAATAATGTCAGGTCTGTTTTGATACCAGGGTCACGTTAGGTCATTTCTTGTTTTCATTACCAAAAATTGCAGCTTAACTTCTGCACACAGACTGAAATTGCAGAAATACTTTGGACATGTTTTGGTGCTGAAACATTTTGTTGTGAATTTTGGACAGTGCCCTCTCTCTCTCTCTCTCTCTCTCTCTCTCTCTCTCTCTCTCTCTCTCCCTCTATTTCCCTCACGGCAGCCTTTTGGTTAAAAAGGTAGAAAACCTGGGGCGCTTGTGGCGCAGTTGTTTGGTGCGGCCGCCCCATGTGTGGAGGCTGTGGTCCTCCAAGCAGGCGGCCCAGGCTCAAATCTCTGGCTCCTTTACCACATCCACGTCATTCCCTTCTCTCTCTCTCTCTCTCTCTCTCTCTCTCTCTCTCTCTCTCTGATTCCTGACTCCACTGTTCCGGTCTCTCTGATAAAGGCACAAAAAGCCCAAAAAGAGTGCTGTTAAATGGGGCCCACACTGGTTGGAGGACCCCCCCCCAATTGTGGGCGTTGTACATATTGAGGTATGCTCCTTAATTGATAATGTCCAATTAAGGGCTATGACCTGAAACGTCACATTTGGTGATTAACCTGACTACATGTGATCTGGAGCAGCTTCTGGTGTGAGGACTCACTTTAAACAAACACACTCAAACACTGTCACACTCCTCTTTTAAGGCACTTCCCACGGGTGAAACAGAGTGTGAGAGTGTGGCACCTCATTAAAAACCATCCCTGTAATTAAATGGCGTGTACTCTCAAATGTAACTGGATAGCAGTTCAGACACTTGTGGATTCTTGATATTTTCAAGGCTGCTGTCTGAGCTGCAGCTAGAGAAAATGCATCGATCCGTTCAATCAACCATTAAAAAATACAACCCAGATGTGAGTCTAAAATATGATGGAGACCAAAAACAACAATCCTGTTCTTCAAGTCAGCAGAGCGCGAGGCTACCAACACTTTCAGATAATGTACATTTGGAATAAAACCAAAGAGCCTCAGATCCCTCAGGACAACGTGCGATGGTAAGAAGAACAGCAGGTAAAGTTACACCTTGGTAGTAGTTAAAGTGATGGAGATTCATGAAATAAAACTGAATTCAAAACAACTTGGACAGGTGATATCATTCTGTTTGTTGTTAGTTCACCTGGTTTGTCGGGGTCTTTGCTCCATTCAGTGCGCTCCAGTGATCCGTACAGAAGAGGAGGAGATCCTTGCTTCCTCTCCATCGGTCCGACAGCAGCTCCTCTCTTCTTCTTCTCCTCCTTCTTTTTTTTTTTTCCTCCTTCTTCTTCTTCTTCTCTCCCCACGCGTCCGGCTGCAGTGGCTGTGGAAACAGCGAAGGTGGGTAAAAAAAAGGGGACTAACAGGGGAGGGTCCTGCGGTGTCCGCTCGCTGCTGTGACTCATTGAGTCATCGCCGCTCAGTCACCAACCTGTAGAAGCAGAGAGACCCTCCTCTATCAACTAACGCTACAGCGGGCTGGATGATAGAGAACCAGCGCCATCTAGTGGCCACGGCAGCACTTGACAAGCTGTGAGAGTCACTTAGAAGCAGACCCCATAAAGTGGGGAAGCTTCCTTCAGACTCTCTGAATCTAGACGATGAAACCCACAAATTCTTTGCAATAATACGTTAAAAAAAGATTATTTGCCAACATAGTCTTTTACAAAGTGATGAACCCCCCTCCCCATCTAACCTTCAGACTAAGCCTCACTCAGGGATGCTCTTTTCTATATTCAGTTATGTTACTCACCTGTTGGCAGGTACACGTATTAACAGTGAGATGTCCAATCAGGTGTTGTTTTTATCAACATTTGTTTCACCCTGTTGTCTCCATCATATTCAAACTGCATGGGCGTATCATTTTTCTGTTAAATCACAAGTCTCCACCTAACCTGCTTCACCTTACCTGAATTTGCCACACCTATTCAAGCCCCACCCCCAACATTAGAAGGCCCGCCCTCCTTCCTACTACTTCCTCTTTCCCTCCAAAGCAAGCATGGCGGAGTGGGTTCAATGTCCTGCTAATCATCAAAACTGTTTTTATTTACGTTTCACACAACGTCCCAACTCAATAAAAAATACAAAACAACGTCTTACATCACAAAATAATTTATTTACACATTTACATTTCTGTTTTAATGGCATCCCCTTTCACGTGACAGTGGATTCAAACATGTGCAAAAAAAACTTTGGTTTAACCCTTTCCAGACCAAGCAGACACACACTCACACAGTCTCCCATGATGACTTATCAAGCACCCGACACCGCCTGAGATCAGAATGTGTGATTAAACTTTATTACTTAAGATATTGTATATTTATGACATGTATCTATACATCCAGGAATCTGTGTGTGTGTGTGTGTGTGTGTGTGTGTGTGTGTGTGTTAGTCGAGTTTCTACACAACCATTCAAAATTAAGACCCTGACACACCAAGCAGACGGCAAAGAACTAGTGGCATCGCTTTTGCACTTGAACACACCGCAAAGAATACAGCCGACAGCATGCATGAGCGGAAATACTCTCCATGCCAGCAGGGGGCGGTAGCTCGTTGTTATGATACGAGAAGACCATTTTCACACCGCTGTCGCTCACCACTCGTATTATAGGTCGTCTACTAATGGAGAATAATGTCTGATAAAAGTAGAAAATGGCGCTGGCGTTGTCAGCTCTTGGTCTTTTATAGGAAAAGAAAAGAAGAGGCGCAGGAGACAAATAAGGAGAAACCGCACTAATGGGTGAAAGCATGGATACTACAGCGACATGCTCAAGGGCTTTAATGAACCTGAGAGAGCTGGAGAGAAATGAAAGCTTTCCGTTTCGGCTTTTGTTCAAAGTGCAGCGTGGTCACGTGCTGCTGATGGCGATCTGCCTCATCGTTGTTGTTGCTGTTCTATGAAACAGGTTCGGGTGTGACGACTTATTGACGAGGCACCAGTGAGCTGTCAACAGTCACCAATCTTTCACAGTGTGTGTGTGTGTGTGTGTGTGTGTGTGTGTGTGTGTGTGTGTGTGTGTGTGTGTGTGTGTGTGTGTTGAGGCAGTGTACAGGTAGTGTGTCTTTGCAGTGAATTCCCTTCACGTGAGGTTTTAGATCGCAGACTTCCACGTCCACAGAAAGATCTCTCTCCACTGAAGGGAAACATCGAGCCTCATTCACAAACCAATCCCAAGAAACGTTTTCTTAAAAACCCTCTTTTAAAGTTTTCAGGACGGCTCTGACATCCATTCAAGTTTTATCTTATCTGTGATTTGTTTTTTACTGGGATGAGCAGAACAAAACTACAAATAGTGAAACACTTTGACAAAGTTTGAGATAAAATGATAAAAATCTGTGACGCGTTTTAAACCGTCAGCTTTCAGAATGAATGTAGTCGTTGTTTTTGTGTCCACTTATTTTTATCTTCCAGATTTCTACTTCATCTGGTGTTCTTTTCTCATTACAGCGTGAAGAACGCCATTTCTGATGACGGCGCCGCCTGAACTCGTGCTATGACCTGATGTGTCTGTGTGTCCTGCATATTTTTAATCCTCTACTGACGCTTCTAAACATCATATCGTTTAAACAGCCTGTTTTGGTTTCATTCAAGAAGCACTACATCCGCTTCAGAACTACTTCAGTAACTATCGGGGTTACCCACTTCTCTCGACTTCTCTTTTCCAATCCGCTGCGTCTTCACATCTCTGCGGCCTCATGTTCCTTTTATGACAATAACAGGCGTCAATCTGTCTGTGCTGATTGTGAAAAACATGCACGAGCCTCCAGTTTAGGAGGACGTGGCGTTCATCGATTTTTTTCTGTCTCAAGAACGAATTTAAGAAAGATGTTAAGAAGATTTTGGTGAATGAGGCTGATGATGTTCTCTGGCATCAACAAAATCTGCCTCTACGAATTGATTGTTTTCAGGTATGCAGAATACAACGGGCGCTGGATAGCCTAGCGGTTATGTTGTGCACCACATGTACAGAGGGTACAAGCGGTTGTGGGTCCGACGTTGTCCCTTTGCTGTACGTCCTCCCCCCACACTCCACTCTCTCCTCCCAAACACCTCCCGTCTCTCTTCAGCTGTCCTGTCCAGTAAAGGCAAAAAAGGCCTCAAAAATAATATCATAAACAATACTTCATCCCTGAAGAGCGACACGGTGTTCAATCGTCCCCGCGGCATGATTACATTTTGTTGTCGTTACTGTCAGAGGAGGTGTCAGGTTGTTCCAAAAAGACTGTTTGTGTTCAAAAAGAGAAAGATGTCTCCCTGCACACTTTGGCTGTCGGTCCTGACAGAACTGAAACGTTCTGGTTCCAGGAGCCGCTCAGAGATGACTCCACTCATGGTTTCATATGTCAGACGGGGGACTTCCTGTTGCCATGGAAGCAACAAACGACCAGCGTTTTCCACGATCAAACACAAAAGCTCCGACAGTCGTCATTGTAAACGTTCCTCTCCGCGTCGTCCTTACATCATGTCATGTGATGATGCCGGCGAATGTGTTGATGGGTAGAGGGAGTCCTTTGTTCATGTATTTACTCAGGCCGGCGTCTTTGTTGTCTCCCAGCTTTAACTTGGACCGCATGGTTTTCTGGACGCAGTATCCCGGATCGAGACACGGGGTGATCTCCACGCTGAAACACACAATTAAAACAAACGAGTTAAAACGACACATTTTCATGTTCATGCCTCCACACTCACCTTCCAACGCGGAGGGAGCCTTAAGATGTTTTTGAGTGCCCATGTCCGTGTGAATCCCTCCACAATCAAACGTGAACTGTTTTCAGCGGAACTTTAAAATCCTCAATAAGATCCTGAATATAGTTTAAACTTTTGATTTTCACATCTCTATAATCCTTCAGTTTGTCTCGAAGTCTCTCACTAGACTCTTCTCCTCTGTCGCCCCCCGGTGGTGGAACAAACTCCCAAACTCCACTCGCTCTGCAGAGTCCCTCTGCACCTTTAAGAAAAAGCTAAAGACCCAGCTCTTTATGAATACCTACTAACTTAATGATGATGATGATGAGGATAGTTTTGTTTGATTAGGACGATGACAATATATATTCAAGAAACAGCTGCCAATGTTGTGCTTCATCTCTGGTCACTTCCTGTCAGCACCTGTGGTCACTTCCTGTCAGCACCTGTATGTCCAATCAGACTTAAACCTCCTCTCTACATTCTTGCTTTTGTTGTTCTTACTATCTGATCTACATATCTTTGGATAAAAACGACTGCCAAATGAATTTTAGAAAGTCCATTTCACCTCAAGTTGCTCCCGCTGCCTTGTAACCCAATATCCATCCAAGCTGTTTTGGCCGTCACTAAACGTGGCGTACCCTCCAGCACTCGAGCACGTGGACGTGTGGTGGGAGTGGTTGCAGACAAAGTCTAATTTAAAGAGTGATCTATTCATCTGAGAGAGAAACTACAGACAGCGTTCCAGTTAAACCCTCGACAGTTATGTGTTGGTGGTTTCATATTGTTAGTACGAATTTTCATGAAATTCATTAATCTTGTAACTTCGTGAAATGTATTAATCAAGTCTGCCTACCACCTGTTAACACTCCTACTTTTAGGTGTCTGAAGCTGTAACTTATATGAGTGAAGCACCTAAGTAGTAGCAGATCTATGTTTGGATAGGAGCCAAGCATATGTTGTCAGCAACTGTTTGCTAGACAGAGAGTCTACAGTTGTTACGTATACAAATCAGTGTCATGTCATCTTCATTGTTTATGGTGATGCACCCAAATAGAAAGGAATTTGTGGGTTGCACCTTTTTGACAGAATATAAGCAGCACTGTGAACACTGTTACTTTGTCAGCACTTTGTCAGTCAAGTGATTTGGAAGCATGCTTGTTTGATGAAGTTGTCTGACCTCGGCCGAATAAACGGTGTTATAATCTCCAGTCTGTTTCACGATTTCTTCATTGGATTTATACAAACAGAAACAACCCCCACCTAACACATATGAACCACAGGATTTAATGATGGCTGTCAAAGGTCAGTTTAATATAACTACCACTGACACACCACACCATTATATTACCTTTACTTAGAAGGTGTGTGAGGTGCAGTACATCTGAGGCTCCACTCTCTTCCCTTAAAAAAGTTTCTTTCAAAGTTTTTGATACCTTGAGTTTGAAAACGATCCGATCTTCATTCATTTGATATTTTACAGCATCGAAAAGCAGAAAGCTTTCTAAAAACTACAGATCCTCTGTCATATTTGAAGCCGAGAGAGAGACAGTAAAAGTCAGCTTCAAAGTTTGTTTTATCTTAGAAGAGCAGCAGCGAACAGATCAACAACGGAGGTCTTCATCCAACCCCCCCCCCCCCCCCCCGCCCGACCCGCATGGGAAAATCAGTATAGACAATGGATGGATGGATGTTTGAAATTCTGATATCCTAGCAACCGTACTCACCTCATCACATCTTTGTAGAACCTGTGAGGATCTTTGTCCAGCGTGAGAGTGAAGGTTCGACTCTCCAGAGAGCGAATCTTTATGTTATTGCTGCGAATACTCGTCTGAATTCAAACAAAAAGGAGAAAGGGATTGACTCGTTTATAAAGTGTTCTTCAGGGAACATTCAGGAGAGATCTGAACGCATCGTCTCCACTCACCACGCTGTTGTTCTTAGATTTGGTCGGAGATTCGTTCAGCGTCAGCGTCAAACAGTTCAGGTCTGAGAGACAAAGGAAGAATGAATAAAGAGAGTTTGATACGTCATAAAACAAACAAACAAATAAATCTAAAACACAGAGTTTAAGAGATGATACTGAACCTTCTGCTTCATTGGAGGGGATAGCGCTGATCTGAGCGCCGGTCATTCTGACCGAGAGTCCTTTGTCGACATCTCGTCCACTTAGCGTCACCTTCACACACACACACACACACACACACACACACAATGAGAGCACACACACAAAGCACGCCCGTTTCAAATCTTAAGGATTCACACTAGAGATGGGATCCGATCTTATATCAGTATCGGGTCAGATATTTATGTTATTTACGCATCAGATATCTCACTGAAAGATGGTTGAACACTGCTCACATATTGTCTCCATGACGACAGCTCCTTCTATTTGATCAAAAGTACAATTCTTACACTTCAGTTTAAAAGATTTACTTTGAAAAACCTGACAGCAGCCGTTGCTGCTTCCTGTTTGGAGGAGCCAGCACAATGTTCAGATACATGTCTTTGAAATGTTTTACATTTTAAGTATTTATATATTTTATTGCTCCTTGAATAATAATAAATATACTAATTTGTATTTATAAATACACTTCAACAGATATTTGCACACTAAAGGTTAATCACATTTCTAGGATGTCTTTTATTTATAATTCTGAAATTTCTAGTCTAGTTTTTAAAAATTGATCTCAGTATTTGTGATGTCTTGTTTTTTGGGCCTAAATGGTATTTGTTAGTTTTGTGTGGTGTCTAATTTCCTGCAAAGGGTAAATAAAGTACTCATCTATCTATTATCTATCTATCTGTAATAATCTGGGTCACATGTGAGTGTTAGACAAACATGGTGAGGTGTGTTTTGGATATTTTGTGACCTTTAAGGCGTTTAAAGATAACCGTTATGTAAGTATGTGTGTGAAACCTTTTCAGGAATCAAACAAATCAAACTTACCCGTTTGTAATTCATCGAGACTACCGCTCCGCAAAGCTCCCCTGAACTCTTCCTCTGTTTATCTGATACGGAAAAAGCGTGCCGTCAGACTTGGCGGTTACACAACAACAAATCAAATCAACCAAAAATATCAGAGGGGACACGAGGAAAAGTCGTCCACACGTTTCCTGGATTCACCTTTCGCCGACGCCATGAACTGTCTGAAGTCGGGGAACTCGACTTCCAGATGGGTAAGAAAGACGTCCTCCACAGGATCCTTAGTCCTGCTGTTGAAGGTGATCTAACGAGGGGGGCGGGAGGGTACAGGTTACTTGAATGAATAATGTGAGTACAGCAGGTTCTGGTGTTTGCATATTGGAAAGGACGCTGTGCTCTAAAGGTGAGGTCAATGAAAGTGCATATTGATACCTTAACAAAGTAGATGGTGAAGTAGACGGACTGCTGGCCGGTTCGGACGTAGTACGATATGACATCAGACACGATGGGGTCTTTCGGCATACTTGCGTTTGCTTGTTGCTAGAGAAGAAGAAGAAGAAGACGTGAAGTGAAGCTGCATGTCTGCATGAGGCTGCAACCTCAGACTTATTCTGGTCTCAGTGTGGTCATCATCCGGTGAAGAAAAGGAGGCATGCAGAGGTCAACTTCTTCAGGTAACGCAGCTGTGCACCGTAATGAGTCACTTCAGGAACAAACGGTGACCTCGCTGTAGTTTTAAAGCGAGTGAATTATTTACGGGTTTGCACAAAAACAAAATTGTTCAAGTACTTTGGAAAAAGTCCAAATGTGTGATATTTCCTGTCTGATCGGGAAATAAAAGATCTCAAATATAAAACATGCAGTAAAAAGTAATGGTGCGTTTTCGGTCATGCAGTGGCCGTTGTCAACAAACTGTTGTCATGGAGACAGGGCGGATGTGCAGCGCTTTTCTTCTCAGCTCACAAACGCTTCATGCAAGCAGCTCCACAGCCAGCGCTTTTCTGCCCGGATTAAAAACGCTAGGTGGACACGGAGCCTTAAGGCAGACAAACTGTTTGAATAAAAATCTTCTTTTCTTTGAAAGCTCTTCCGTTTAAATATTTAAAAAGTCATATAACATCTATTTAAATATTCTACATGTTATGTTTCATGCTGTGTCTCCTCATTCAGAGCTCACTGCGGTGTCGAGGCGTCTTTCAGTTCAGCTCGCTGTGGCTGTGGCTTCAGTGAAATTAACGCATTCATTTTTCCGGCAGCAGAAGATGTTTCGCAACTTCCTGCATCTCGACTCGCACACACTGACTAAATGGGATGCGGTAATGTGTTGACATTTTCATAGAGGCTCAATCATTCAGACACACTCGAGCTGCAGAGAAAAAGAAACTAAAAGAGAATAGACTTTTTCTTTTTTTCGCTCATGAACCACTCTGACACAAACAAGGATGTCATCTCATTTTGTTGTATAGATTTGAAGTGTACTGTACCATTGCTGCCAGTTTGGGAATCATGCAGCCTAGTCCCTTGATGTTTGTGTTGTACCATGGGTCCACCATGCTCAGGTAGGAGCCCAGAGAGCAGAGCTTTCCCTTCAACTCAGGGACATTTTTCTAGAAAAGACATGAGCATAAATGTGGGATCAAAAAAAAGAAGAAGTGCGCCTTTACGCCTCAATCCAGAGTGTGACATTCAACATTTTCACTAACTTCAAAAAATGGTATTTAAAGAAAGTTCATCTACAGCCCTGTAAGTCCTTATAAGGAACTTTCATTTTTTGTCCATTTTGGCGCCCCCTGTTGATGAAGGGGTATGTCATATCTATTTGCTGATCTTGACCTGTACATGTGTATGTGATATTTTTAGTCTTTTCAGTCAAAATGATCCCTCATCGAGGATCCCTGCGGTGGAAAATGATTTTTAAAAAGTCTGTTTCTGCAGCAGGGTGTTTATTGCCTCGTCTGTCACCGACCCCAGGGCCGGGGTTTCACTTTGTAGAAATGGTCAATCAATACGCAGACGGTTTTTTAAAGTATTTTATCTCATTAAGAGGCATCAATATTATTTTCAGTTGTATAACCATCTAAAAAAAAAAAACTCCTCACAGGAGCGTAGAAAATTGTTCTCAGGTGATTTCCCATCACTCAATTACAGAGTGTTTCCCATGCGTCACTACACTGTTACATAAAGCAGAGGTGTGGTGACTCTCACACGGTAACAGGCTGGTGGGTGTGTTGGCAGGAGGATGTTGTTGGCTTTACCTTGCTGGGGGAGATGGAAGTTGTGGGCTTGCAAACAGGGATGTAGTAAAACTGGAGGTTGACTTTCATTGCAAGAAAAAGCTTCCGCGCTTCCCTTTTCCTGCAGAAAGAAAAACCCCAAAATACATGAGAAGCGCAAAACGTTTGTGTGACGATCCCTGAGAAAAGGTTTCAGAGTTCAACATGTGACATTTGAAAAACAAGAAGTACAGCTTTTGAAAAACCCCAAAACGTATTCATACAAAGATCTGCAACCCTCACCTGAAGAAGTAGTAAGCCTTAGCGAGGCGTCCGAGCACCCTGTCGTCTCCCATGGCGACTATCCTGGCAGTGAAGTGTTTCTGCTGCTTGTTGAAGGAGTGTCGCAGGACGCTGCTTCCCACCATCCTCTGCCGAGTCGAGCCTCTCTCTCCCCCCCTCCCTCCTCCCACCTGGCTTGCGTGGTCCTCCAAAGTGTCCTGCATCAGCAGCATGTTGTCCTTCATCGTCGGCTTCATCTTGATGGCTTTACGTCGGGACAGCCTCGAGTCTTGCTCGCTGGGAGAAAAAAAAACAACTGTTTACGGTCATATTCAGAGTCCTAATCGTTTTCATCTGATACGTGGTTTGGAAACTAAAACATGCGATGCAAAATAACTTTTTTTTGTCAAATCGATTTAAAATAGACAGGAACGGTTTTACCTCTTGCATTGCTCCAGTGGTGCACTCAGGCTGGCAGAGTCCAGAGACGACGACAGGGAGGGGTCAGCGCCGGGGGGCAGGTCTCTCTCGATGCCGCTGTCGTTGGACATGATGGAGAAGCGCGTCATGTCGGAGGGCGTCAGCTCGCTGGGAGACTCGCCCAGCTCGGGGTCCTCCTGGCTGAGGGAGAACTGCTCCGACGTGGAGCTCGATCGCAACCACTTGGTCAGCACTCGCCCTGTTTAACGGTTTTTAAGATAAATCATTCAGAAGAAGTGGACAGTCTGCAAACCAGCAGAAACCACATCAAGGAATGACACTTAGTCCTGTCAATAATTATTAAGACTTGAGCAGGACATGAGTTTCCTGCTTTGTGTAATCTCACTTTCAGAGCTTTAGGATGTACATGCACTCTTTTCATTGAATTGTCTTTCAATACAAATCTTGGCAGCTTGGTGACTTTTTGAAAACTTAAAATCAAGAAGGAATGCATATAAAGGAAATACCCCCGCCTAAAGGTGTTCCAATTCAAATTTTTTGGGCAACAACATGTGCACATGTCAGCCTCTTTCACTTCAGCTGACTGGTTGAAACAACTTCCTGTAGACCCCCCACTGTGTTGGGAGAAACTCACAGATATCCAGATCCTCCATCCACAGGTGGAAGCTCATGTCAGGGTTAGGGAGAGGGCAGTCACACAGCGGGCCGCCGACAGACAATGGCTCTGCACACACACACACACACACACACACACACACACACACACACACACACACACACACACACACACACACACACACACACACACAAGAAGGAAGACTGATAAGAAGAGACCAAAACTGTCACAATGACACTCAAAACAAAACAACTCACAGAGCTTCCTGTCTGTGAACACTGCGCTCTCTCTCTCGCTCGCTTGTTCGCTCTCTCTCTCTCTCTCTCTCTCTCTCTCTCTCTCTTTCGCTCGCTCTCTCTCTCTCTCTCAGCTTCTGATCGGAGGAAAGAGCAGGTTCATCGGACGAGTCCCTGACTTAACACTTTGTGTGGAACAGAGTGGATGTATCGGGAATAGATATCCGGAAAATTATAAAAATACAGACATCTGACTCGACTGATTTAACCAAAGAGGAAAACGCTTTTATAGAAAGGAGGTCACATGTTTGATCTCTAGGGTCTCTGTGGCCACAGGAAACACGTCCATCACCGGGAGCTCAGGCTCAAGTCCAACACTGAAGAGGACTGAACTCGCCGACAGAGAAGACGATCAGTTTCCATCAAGAAGAGTTCAAGAAACAATCCACTAATCAAAGCTTTATTTCTACAAACTAGACCTGCATGACACAAAATAAATCTGCAATGCAATAACATTATCGATTATTACGAGTTACCTGAATTTTAAGCTTTAATGCAATACTAATAAACATCAAACAATATCCATAAATGTTTTATTTAGGGAATTTAGACAGTGTCACCTCCTCAGCTCTCTTTAGGAGACGCAAAAGGACTTGAGAAACTTCTCTATATGCCGACCTATGATTTTTTTTTTTTCTTTAAGGTTTCATTTTCTTTAAGGGCAAAAAATATGACTGAAAATCTGTAGATTAAAAGAAGAAACAACCATGGTACTTTTTGATTCTATTGAAAGTAAAAAAACAAAAAAACAGGCAGACCAGCATCTTTCTCATGATCATGATCTGTCCTTTTGATAATTAGTGTAGATTTTCTATGTATAGTGTGTATATATGTGTGTATGTTTGTCTTGTATGTCATTGTTTAGTTACTCTGCTGTGTTTTAAGTAGGAAAATAAATGTAAGATTTGTCCAACACTGTATTTATTGATTGCATAGATGTAACATGGACATTTGAGAGATGACCTTTTTGACTTGCAATAGGTCATCTTGGTGTTCTTGATTTGTACTTTGCCTGTTAGTGTGCAATCATTTATTTCTATTTCTGTCTTTTTCTGTTCCGTCTTTTTTTTTTTAATTTGTGTGGATTTTAAATTCATGTTTGTATGAGTGGACCCGAGGAAGAGTAGTCGCTACTTAGGCAGTGGCCAATTTGTTATCCGTGATCTCTAGATTGTTTTTAAAAAGGTAGACAGCAGCTCTTGTGGTTGTCCTTTCTTGATTTAGACAAAGACAGAGCAGCCGTGGCTGACCTCAGAGACCTCCTCCTACCTGAATCTGCATCAGAGACGATCTCGCTGTACAGCTGCTGAAGACGCCCCCTCAGCGCTGCACCCTCCCCCTTGACACCTTCCTCCGCGCTCTGCTCCACAGTCGCCGTCACTTCCTGAAAGTGCGTCTCCACGTCTTGGCCCATGTCCTGTCCGAGCAGCAACCACACACACAAAACACAAAGGAAGATAAATACACACGGACTCTGTATTAATAGGAAAGAGGCGAGGGGTCAATAGCGCTGGCGTGTGTCTGCCTACGTGTGCGTCCTGCTGAGGTGTTACTTTAGGCTCAGTGCCAGGAGACACTTCCACTGCTCAGCTTTAAGACAACAGACCTTCATTCAGGAAGTTTCATGCGACATGTAAAGATAGCACAGAGACTCTGAAGCTATTTTTAAATCAAGCAGAAAACTTTGCTGCCATCACCAAAAATCTCATGAACCACCGATGAGTACTCCACACACGCTCTGTGTCCTGTGTTTATTTCTTCCCCCCTTCAGCAGCTACAGTCAGGATTTTCAGTTGTGCATCCACAAGGGAAAATATTGGTAACTTTGCTAAAAGTAATAACAGAGGTTGTGAAAGAGTCAGGACCAAAAAAAACATCTTAGTCACATTTTCTTCCACAGACTAGAGACACACGTTTCAAACCTGTCAAAGACAACATGAATGTTATATCATGCAATGTCATGTTCCAGAAGCTTAAGTTCAAGCCATAAAATTGACCTCCTTCTAACAGTTATGTCCATTTGTTGTATTAGGGCTGTGACATACCAGGTTTTTATACTTTGATACGATTCTAGTAAAAATCTAAGTTTATCAATCTAACTTTTGATACCATGGCAACAACAATACAATAAGAGGTTTATTTTTAGAGATAGGACAGTGGATAGAGCAAGAAATCAGGGTGAGAGAGTGCGGGAAAGGAGCCGCAGCCGGATTTGAATCTGGGTCGACGCTTAGAAGACTACAGCCTCTGCACCCGCTCTAACCACGAGGCAAACTGAGCCCCGAATTTCATGTTTTCAATTGACAAAAAAAATCCTTAACACTTTCTTAACTGCACAAATGCATTGGCAACATTTTGGTATCAGTGAGTTGCCAACAAGCTTCTGTACTTTAATAGTATCGATCATGAAAATAGAGGCGACTGTTTCGTCTCTAAAACTGTGGTTTTAAAAAGTTTAATATAATTGAAAATTGGACATCTTCATGTTGAGCAGATTATTGTTGTCCTCTCACATTAAAGCACATTTGGGCGGCATTAGCTCAGTCTGTAGGGACTTGGGTTTGGATGCTGGTTCAAGTCCTGGTGCGGACCAAAATATGGAAGTTGGTCTTGTTGCTGGAGAGGTGCCAGGTCAGCCCTGGTACGCTATCTGAATAGCGGTCTGCATAGCGGTGTGTAGCAGCCCCACTCTGACACCTCTCCATTATTGCACCTGTTTGTGCATGTGTGTACATCTGGTCTATGTGTGTGAGACGCATGTCAGTGACAGGGATTAATAAAGCATTTAAAATAAACAAAATAAAAGAAATTACAGCAAGCACCAGGTCGTCAGTGGTGGAGATGGATGAGGGGTGGTTTTGGCTAGAATTGGCCATCTACTTCTAAGTAAAGCAGTGGTTTTTATTCTGCAGTCGTGTCATTAGGTTAGATACCGAACCACAAAAAACAGCTCCAGAGGGCACAGCTGTCACTGTGTGAAACAACATTATCAGCAGCTTTACACCCAGCGTAGCATCCTCTGTCATCAGTTTGTGAAAGGGAGACAGTTGACATGCTGTGTAAAGGGCTTTGAGTAGCTGGATGTCTAAAAATAAAAGCTCTATAGAAATGCAGTTTTTTCTCATAAATGCTTACAGCTTGAAGCCGTCATGGTGCACTTGTTGCTATACAGGATGTGTTCAGACAGGAATGGGCCAGGCTCCTAGAAAGAGGAGTATATTGATTTATAAGTTCCCCTTGGTGTTCTTTATCAAGTCCTGAGATTATTTCAATGGATTTTTCCGTGAGTCAAACTTCACCGATAAAATTGGTGTCTTTATTTCTACTATTCTCCTACAGATGGCCAAAGAAGGCTATCCATGTTCATGTTGTTTGTTTGTTTGTTTGGATCCCCATTAGCCTCAGCATAGCAAGAAACTATTCTTCATGGGGTCTGAAGTTTGCAATGTGACAACACAATTTACTCGTGGAGCTTTATTCTTTATACTTGACCAAACCACAGAGCAGTAGTCTAGGTGAGAAAACACAAGGCTTGATTGACTTGTTGTGTCTTTTCACACCTTTTGATCACGGACAAAGTCTCTCCCGTTTCAGTTTCTAATTTCTGTACACGCTTGGCAAATCTGTCGTCAATGATAAGTTTAAGTTTGACATCTTTTTCTTGCTTTATCAAAGTCTGATTTATACTCAGATCAAGCTTTAGTTTAGATCATAAAGAATAACTACCACCGACTTTAACTCTCTCTCTCTGAATTAGTTAGTCTAAATTGATATCTCCTTATGCTAAATATATGGTGGAGTCATCCGCATACATCAACATAAGTGCTTCTTCTAATGCTGAGGGGGGATCATTAGTGGAAATTGTGAACAAGAGTGGCCCGAGACAGCTTCTTTGTGGAACTCCATGTTTGGTTTTTCACTTAATTCACAAGTAAGAACTAGCACAAGCAAGCCCAATTACAGCTTAAAAATAAGTTTCTGGTGCTCATCAGAAACTGTCCTGTAAGCACCGGAAACTTCCTCGCGCTCACAACTTTTTTTCTGGTGCGAAACTTATTTTTTTCTGCCCATATCTTCTTGGGGGCATATCGTTTTCATTAGCGTTTTTAAAAGCTTTGTGAGTCCAGAAAAAAGGCTTTGGTTTAAAAAGCAAACCTACATTAATCAGAACAGAACGGCTCAGACAGCAAACAGCCTGAGGATGACAACAATATTCACAGAGACCTTAAAGGGAAGGCATTAAGTGAGGACAAACAAACTGTATAGAAAAAGTCCCACTGACCTTCAGCGCTTGAGCCAGTTTCGGCCCGTCGCACTGCTTTGCTCCTAAAGCAGCCTGGATGGAGTGTTGGACCACGCTGCGCATGTGATCTAGAGGACTCAGACATCCACCTGCAGCTGATGCAGACGCCTCGATATCCCCCATAAGGACTTTTCCCAAAGAACCAGAGAAGATTTCTGGATCCGCAAAAACAAAGACCCTGCAGGGATTTACATCACATTATAGTTACAGATGTGGAAGCCACAGTCAGACAGGTGAAACAGTATTTGAAGATGACTCACCTCTCCTGAAAGGGATAGTGTTCACTCTTTAGTCTCTGCTCTGCTGTGACCATCCTCCGATACATCAGACCTACCGATCAAAATGGTATTTAATTATGCTGTATGATTGCAATCGCTTGTAACTGACACATACTTGATGAAAGGACAGTAATAAAACTTCGTTGTAACATTTGTTGTTTCTATCTTTCAGGTTTGGCTCCATTCCTTTCTGTCAGTGTTTCCAGTTTGTGTCTTTGCAATTACAAGAGTATGATTTAAAGTAGGGCTGTCAGCTGTCAGAGTTAATCCCGTTTGAATCAACACATACGGAAAGTTCCCCCCAGGAGCTTTAAGGCGAGGCAGGTTTATTTCTAAAGCATCTATTTCAGCAACAAGGCGTCAAAAGCATCACGACAAAGGGAAAAAAAACATTAAAATAGAACATTTACAACATAAACAATTAAGTATCACAGAAAAGTAGGGTCCAACCGATATGTATTTTTGAGGCTGATACCGATATCATCGAACAGATAAAATTCTGATAGTGATATATTGGCCGATACCTTTTTTTTGATCTATGTAGAGACAGATAGTTACACACATTTATTGGTTTGATCCTTCAAATGCAGTTATCAAACACTTCAACAATCCACCTCAGAACGTCCCGAGGATTCAGGCTCACAGTTTGCTCAGTCTGTGTCGAGTCACAGCTCATAGGCTGGTTCAGACTTCCAGATGAGCCCACGCGGAGGCACCCTACACAACCCAACTCTCACCAATTGGAACCTCAGAATGCCTGAAAGGTGAAACTGAACTAGCAGCTATTTGTTCAGCCCTGATGGAAATGTACAATTCACCACTTATTTTAATTTTTTAATTTTGTCACCGATGACAAGCTGAGATTTGAACAATACCTGGAACAACCCGTTCTGTTCTGATCTGTCTCGCGTAGCTGAGGCCTAAAGTGCAGTAGGGCTGAGGGAAGGTCAGGAGTCTTTTACAAAATGCATATATCCTCTTGTACAGCTCGTCTGGAATGAAGGCTGTCTGGAAGATCAATAAACAAACAAAAGGTTAGCAATTAGACCCAGCAGTTTTCTAATGTAATTAAAGGTTACCCAATAGTAATTAAAATGTGACTCAAAGATTAGGCAGACAAGAATTCCTTTCTAATGTTTACTTCCTTGTTTGTTACTGAGAAATTTGGTTGTTTTTGCAGTAACGGCTCAGACACTCCCTAAATGGCACACCTTAAATGATGTCACTGTCATGAACTTTCAATAAACTCATTACCATGTCAGTGATGCACATTGGGGATTTTTGTTGAGGCATTGTGGTATAGCCTCTGTAGCAAGATATAATCACACATCAGCCAAAACCTTATAATCTTATAATAACAGTTCTCATAATTTGATTAAACACGGGGGGGGGGGGGGGGGTCGGGGTGTAAGGGATGTCAACAAAAACAAAAAAATGCAGAAGCCTCTTAAAAGGAGAAATTTTTAGTAGAACTGTAGAATTGGATTGCATCATATTGCATAAGTGATCATAATGTTTGGACTGATTGTTGATTATATGTCTTAGTCACCTTTTACACCCCAAAAGGACGAGAAGAGACCGTACCTGAATGATGGCATACATCAGTGTGTGGAGCAGGGGGATGATGCATTTGCGGGAGTCCCATCTCTCAGCCTGCGGAAAACACAAACACTTTATCAGATATCCCCATTTCAGCTTCTACGGAGGACTGTACAATGCTACTTTAAAGGTGCTATATAAATAATGTCATCATTTTCTTGAGCTGAAAACCATTGATGAACGGATTGATTGGTCCATTTGTACAAAAATAAAAAAAAATTAAATGCAGTTTTATATAATAATATCCCTTTTTTTATACAATTACAGAAGTTGATTGATTGAAAAAAATGTGAATAATTATCATGATGCTCAATTTCCAGTGGAAACATGACATCATAGGGATACAACTGGACCAGATTCTCCATCCAGGCAACCTTCAACAAGTCAGGATAATGGGATGGTAGTACTTGTGATTATCTTGCTAGATTTTCTATTGGATTGTAAATATTAAAAGGAAGTCATGACTGTCTACAATGAGTAAGAAGCTCGAGTCCCTCTGGCTGTGTTGTTGTCGGGCTTGTTTTCACCGTCTCCTCGACTTTATCCATAACATTTTTTTATCCTTCACGAAAGTTTCTGTACAAAAGTAATCCCAAACTATCGCCCATTCTTCTGCTGCCTGCCATGTTTGTTTACTCTAAAGTCAAGTTTTAACATGAGAGAGTCTGTGACATTTCCAGTTTTCAGGATCTGGATGGAACAAAAATGAACAAAAATGCTAAATCTATAACTGTTGGTTGTCATGTGTGGGGGTCTCTCAAATGTTTCTGCACCTTATTGAAACCTTTCAGTGTGTTCCAGGTTTCATATTTGAAAAACCACATACAGATCATTTTCAGCCGCAGTCGTCAAAGGTACAAAAACAAAGACAACATCAGTGCACAAGCTAAGATCTCCTACCTTCTCCAGCTCTTTTATCAGCACCCAGAGCAGAGTTAAGCTGTTTGCAGGATTGTTTTGAACCTTTTTGTGAAGTGTCCATCTCAGCATGCCTGCACACACACACACACACACACACACACACACAAACTATTAATGAAGCAAACCTGTTGAATGTGTCAGACTTCTCTCCATCACACACTAATCCAGAATCTGTATGATGACTAACAGCTGAACTGCCTTCACACCGGGCTGACACATCCAATGATTCCACAGTGTCTTCAACACAAGCAGGCAAACTTTATTAAATGTGTGTTCAGGGCAGAACAGTTTTTGTAGTAACAGAGAAAAAGGCGCTGAGGGCCAGGTCCCAAATAAAGTTGTCATCACATAATCCTCATTTTTAGAAACACTGAACCACTGTTTCAGTCGACATGGAGATCATAAGTTTCTCTCTGGCTGCTGTGGCTTTTATTGTGGGTTTTACTGAAACAGAATTATGAAGTTTAAAACCTGTTAATATAATCAGATGATCTCTGAGTGATCACAGCCAACAGCGAGGAGAGATAAACTCAATGCTAATTTTTTTTTTAAATATCTCAAGGCTTTTTTCTTAAATTGAATGTGTTTTGTCAGGATCATTTTGTACCTTTGTTGAAATAGTCTGGCGGCTGTTGTTGGTCTGTTTCCCTGGGCAGCAGAGCCTGGATGCTGCGGTACAGCTCGGCCTCTGGGACTGTCGGGGAGCAGCCGACTGATGGAGAGATCAAGAGGTTTTGATGTTAAAGTCTCAATATGAAAGGTTTCGTGTTAAAAGTAAGAGCAACTTTTGATTTAAAGGTGACATATTGTCCTCCTCTTCAACCAGTTTAAATAAGTCTCACAGCTCCTCAAAACATGTGTGTGAGTTTCTTGATCTAAATCCACTCTGATCCTGTATTTGATCATGTCTATAAACCCCTCTATTTCAGCCCTGGTCAGAACAGGCTGTTTCTGTGTCTGTACCTTTAAATATGTAAATGAGCTGCGTCTGACCACGCCCCCTCTCTGGAAGGGCTTGGGTGTCTCTGGCTTTCTCGCTCCTGTTGTTTACGGTGAGAAGGCAGACTCAGAGGGCAGAACAAACACCTAGCTGTGGGAGTGTCACCCACCTGGGGAGGGGTTACTGCCCTTTGTGATGTCATGAAGGGAAAATCTCCAAACTGCCTGTTTGAGCACACATTTTCTGAAAAGTGGAGCAGGCAAAAGACGGAGAGGATGGACTTTTCTCATCTTTGGGGGGTTTGTGGACAGAATAGAGACACATATTAGAGTTAGAGAAACATGGGGAAGTGTATTTTGTATAATATGTGACCTCTAAACCGTTGGATTCTACTTTTTTAAAATTCTGAATACATTGATTTGAGGCAAGAATAGTTTTGTCACAATACTAGATTTTTTATATTTTGATACGTTTTAAGTCCAATTCAAATATATATAGATACCTGCTTGATACCCCGGCAAGATAAATGCAAAAGTAATGCAGCTCAATCATCCCTTCTGGGCCTCCGTACATGTGTGGTGGTGACTGTGTCTGCAGAAACCCTGTCCTCTGACGGGATTTTACTGTTTTGTTTTGTTTTGGTTGACATGGGAAGTTTCGGGCAAGGAGCTGGTGTGTATCCTATTCAAACCAGCGACTATGAGGAACTAAAAGTAGCAGCAGAGAAGGGAAAATATAATCCTAGTCAGGCAAAAATGCCAAACACGCTTGTATCAAAATGAGGTTGAAACTTGTGTTGGCTTTTGACTTCCTGTTGGACAGCCAGGTTAGCTTGTGCTAGCGTGCGGTACCTTACAGTGTGGGTACAAGCAGTAAACGTCCACACTACGTCCTGCAGTGAGGGTGCTGAAAGGGGCGATGAGCCCAGGAGGAGGGGCCCAGTTTGAATGTTGTGTTTACAAGTTGCATTAAAATATGCGGCTGACTCCACCTTTAAATTAAAAAATAT